AAAATTAAAATTGTTTACCAAAAATGAAAAAAAAAGAAAAGAAATACGACTACTAACAATAATAAAAGTAAACGAAGGAGAAGAAAAAATCAGTGTATAAAACCCAAGAATTAGAAATTTTCTTAATTTACTTCACATGACCCAACCGCCAGACCATCAGAACGACTCGGTCGGTGATTCACTGATTCACTGAAGTGAAAGCAAATGCCAAACAAGCGATTGTTAAACTTCTGGAACAGCAATCGCAGATATAATGACGGCTTGAAATTATTTACTCAACGTAGTCGCTTACGGTGTGTATTTGTTTGAAATTCGTAATATTTCTCTGCATAATTTAAAAGTTCTGAAAAGTTACTACGATTTTCAACAATTTCGTTAAAAACTCAATTTCGATTTAGTAGCAATTATGCCAAGGAAGAAAGAAATTGGTGGTATTCCATATTCCATACCATCAATTCCTCTGACAACTGGCCGCTGTCAACTAAGTACCGCCTACTGCCTATTGCCTACTGCCTGATGCCTGCTGCTTACTGTCTAGCTAAGCTCAAAGTATTGTTAATGGCATATTGAATGGACGATTTGGGGGCGGCAAAGGTGACAGCTGCATTTATCAAACTTTGAACAGAACAATTTTCATTTGTATTTATGCGTAATTTTCACAAAAACTTAACAGAAAAAAAAAATAGAAAAAATAAAAAAAAACTGGAATTGAAGAAGAGGTCTTAACAAACCAAACCGCGCCATTAAAGTTCTTCAAACATCACTGCTGGTACTGCGACGAACAAAAGTATGCCATCGAGTCATGACAGCTTAAGAATATTTCCCTACCTTTTGTGCGTGAAGAGTCCTTCAATTGTTGGAACTTGTAATTTATTTGTCAAAAAAGTAAACAAAAATGCTTTTAATATGCCAGTGTGGCTCTTCATTGTTATTTTAATAAACATATTTAAATGTATGAGTATTTGTATGCAATGTACACAGCAATGTGTACGGCAATGTGTGTGGCAAGCAATGTCATTGTAATGCTGCTATTAAAGGTTACGCTACGTTCTTATGCAAATATTGTTAAATATTAAGCATTGTATTGAAATATTGACGAAAGTTTTTGTGTGTCAAAATAACAAATGAAATGAAAGTTCTTTAATAAAACCTAAATGATATTAACAAAAACAAAATGATATTATGTACCAAACAAAAAAAAATAATGAAAATGAAAATTCAAATAAAATTCATAGCATACACGCACACACATACTTAATCAAACCACACAGCACACAACACCTGCACACATGCTTAAGCTTTAACCAGAGCTCTTTTTCTCACACGCATACAAATTAAATTTGCATATTAAGGTTCCAAAAAAAGAAACCTAAATAATTAAAATGCGCAAAACAACTGCGAATGGATTAACTTTTATCTAAGTTTTTACAGGGTAATACAACTAGAGCTCTTCATTCAAAGTAAACGTAAGTTCAAATTAATAGCTAAACACGATTTTGGCATATTAATATTATTTGCGGATATTACATTGTAAGCTACTCACATAATTTATCCTAATGCAAACTTATACTCTTGATAATTATTACTGTGCCTTTTACTCATTCCACTACATACACAAGTATAATAACTATATACACATATTTGTGGCTGGCCGACCCTGTCCGATTGTTTGGCAAATTATAAATCATTTTTAATGTGGTCGGTCAAGCTTTATTTTCTTATTTTCACTTGTTTATATGTTAAAAGTAGAACCTGAATATTTTTGTGGGTCCATAAATTATTTTTATTAATTTTATTATGCCATTGTGTACGTTGTGAATATGAAAAAATTACCACTCAGCATGTTAAATGGTATAATAGATAAGTAAAATTTTCTGAAGTCATTACAATTAAAGTAAATACATTAAAAAAATACATTTTAATTTATAAACTCAGCATAAGTTCATAACATATATATGAACAATTTAATTTTTAACATATATATTTAAACATATATATGTTTTCTCTTAATGTTTATTAATAATTTTTTAAAGAGGTTTTCAGAACAGTAATGAATTACAACAACAAAAATTCATTTCAGCGGCAAATGCCAGGAATCGAACTCGTGCCCTGCCAAATTTAAAGCTTAGAGCCAGCGCACCTTAACCAACTTTTATGTTCGCAAATATTTCTGGAGTTTTTTTAAATGCTGTATTTATATTAGAACGAAATCATACACCAGTTGTAGAATAATTGAATTATTGAAAAGTAACAAAACTCCAGAAAAATGTGCGAACATAAAAAGTCAAGTATGGCTTTTGAATTAAAGGTGCTCTAATTCTGAGCTTCACATTTGGCAGGACCCAAGTTCCATTCCTGGTACTTGCAGTCTTAAAAATAATTATTTACGAATAATTAAATACAAGAATTATTTCCTAGAGCACTGATGATTGGTATTTGGCAATACTCGAATACTGTATGGTCAGCCAAGAATTCAATTAATTAAAATAATATAAAATGAGTTTTTGTTGTTGTAGTTCACTACTCTTCGAAAAAAATTTAAATATTTATTAATATAATTTTTTAATATTATTAAATATATATTTAATATTCATTAATATTCATTTTTTAATATTTATTAAAATTTGTTTTTAATATTTATTAAATATGTTTTTATATTTATTAAGTATTTTTTCATATTTATTAAATATTTCTGAATATTTATTAAATATTTTTTAATATTTATTAAACATGTTTTTAATATACATTAAATGTTTTTTTAAAAAATATATCATGAGATAAAGTTAAAAAATAGAGATTCTAAACGGTTAGTAAAATTTGTATATATTAAGAGATCCGAATGTTGTGTCTTCAATAAATATGCTATAAATAAATGAATAAATAGCATGAGATATCCTCGAATTCTATTTCTTTCTTACCGAAAAGAATGTTTTCTCATATATATAAATACAATCCATTTTTGAGAGAAACGGAAAGAAATTTGGGTAAGGACGTCTATAGCTAAAATGTTTATCTATTTAATCCTACTAAATTTACTAAAAATATGACATTCATAAACTACAATTTTTAAAAACTACAATTTTTGATCTTTACTCCATTATAGCTGGAAATCTAGATATACTTCAGTGAATTAGCATACAACGATTTGGTGAATTCTTCAAGATTGAATACTATGCCCTATCCAAAATGGTATTGAAAGCGATACATGGAAAAAAAAAACGTGAAGAAGACCGTGTTTCCTATAGAGTGATCAGGCTGACTGTACCTGAAATACGGAATTGAAAAGGGCGCGCATACAATTTAGATGCCTTGAACATTTTTATTGTACACAAATTTATTAAAGATCAAAGAGAACCCTTAAAAATTCATCTTTATTTATTATTGAATGGACTTTGAATCAAATATCTACAAAATATCAATTTATGAAGGAAATTGTTTTTTTTTAATGATCAATCACACTTCGTATTCATCTGATTTGGCACCACTTAGCTTTTTTGTAAACTATTTTTATTCTTCTGCAGTTTACGAACTAATAAAAAATAATTTGCGTTATTAAAATCGAATAAAGAAAGCTTTTAAAACTTTTCAATAAAAATAAAATAATTTTTCATCGACATAAAACATATTTTATGATGAGATTTTAAAAACACTTAAGACTTGAACAACGGCAAGAAAGTTCCGACTTGATTGACAGAATAATAAAAGCAAATTTTATTAACTTTCAAAGACTTAATAAAATAATTTTTAGAATGAACATTTTATTTTCTTATTAAAAGTTTACTAAATTAAGTAAGAAAACATTGTCTAAATTTAGAATCACAGTTTTGGTTTCTTTTAAGATTATTTTGGTCGATTCAATAATTTAAATATATAACAATATATTGAATATTCAAAAGTTAATACTTTTTTCTTTAAATGTGTAACGAGGATTATATGAGTATAAATACACAAAGTAGTTGCTATAATAGTGTAGTAATTAATTCAAATCCCTAAGATAACAACAGTTTTGAGGTTTATCTTTTATGTAGTCTTAATCTGGTACCGAATGACGTCCTCTGGCTTTTCCACTTCAAAAACAAACTGCGTGACATGGGCTTCAGATATTTTGGAAATGGTTCCCACGGTATGATAAAATGCGATATGCAATGATTTTATTGTACAAAAAAGTTTAAAGATTTTAAAAGAGAATATTTATATTGAACTACCAAAAAAAAAACCTTTTCAGTGAAATATTATTATTTTTATTATTGTATTTTTATCACAATATTTGCACAAATATTTTAGATTTTTATTTAAACCCAAAATATATATTAAATCGTTTACATCTAGTAATAATTCAAAAAGGACGAAATTTTGTCTAAATTAAAGTAATTTCGTATAAGCCAGCCACGTCAAAATGAGAACTCTGTTAGGAAGGTATGCAATTAGATTTGGGTTACCATTTAAAGCATTTCATCATGATTGTTTCAGAGCTGAATTTTGATTAAGAAAAATCAGGCCCACTTTTTACTCATAAGGCAGAGCTGGCGCCGTATAAAACTAGGGACATAAAAAAGTTTATAGACTTATTAGGTTGGTTTCCTTATGCTTGAATGACATAGACGTACCTTATCAAAAGTATATTACGCTAAATGTTTCCGAAGCGTGATATATTTTTGAAGTAGCTCTTTTACCAGAAGGAGTCATACCTTACAAAGTTAAAGTCCTATAAAAGTACAGCCATATTCAGGTTTATAAACTTTGATTGGTTCCCTTGTACTTGAATTAGGCAGTCGTGCCTTATCAAAGAGACATTGTCCAAAATGTTTCAGTTTCATTACAACTTAAAGAAATAATGTCTTTTCAAGTCTGTACACGTAGAAGAGCTGATATATAAACAGTACATCTTCTATCT